GCAGCCGCAGCAGGTTGCGGAAGCAGCTGCTTCGCATAGCAGTGCTCTGCAGCAGAGGCTCTTTCAGCGGCAGCAGCAGCAGCTGCAGCAGCAGCAGCAGCACAAGGGATACACTTTTGCTGCTGCTGCTGCCGGGGCGCCGCTAGAAGAGCTGACCGATTCTCTCCTGAAGGCAGCAAAACACTCCAGGGCTTCTGCCTGCTTGGCTTTCTGCCCACTGCAGCAGCAGCAGCAGCATCAGCAGCATGAGGTGTATGCTGCCGTTGCTCTTGACTGGAGCAGTCGAAGTAGCAGCAGCGGCAGCTCGACTCCTAGAGAGCTGCTGCGCTCTCTTTCTCAGCAGCAGCAGCAGCAGCAGCAGCGGCCTTGGGGGCTCGCAGAGAAGCAGCTGCTGCGGCAAGTGCTGTCGCCTCTGCCTCCGTTGGATGCTGCTGCTGTTGCTGCTGCTGCTCGCCGCGGCAGTGTGCAGGCCGCAGCAAAGGACTCGACTGCAACAGCAGCAGCCGCAGCTGCAGCAACGGACCCAAGCGGAATGGCTGCAACACCGCTCTCTGCTGTGGCGCAAACTGGCAGCAGCAGCAGCAGCAGCGGCAGCAGCCGGCGTCGCAGGGCAGCACCTGGCTCAGCAGCAGCAGGAACAGCAGCAGCAGCAGCAGCCTCCGCCGCGTCAAGCTCTGCTGCATTGGCGTCTCCCAGCTTCTCCCCCGGGGTCTCCTCCGGGCCGTCTTCCTCGCAGCAGCAGCAGCAGCAGCAGCAGCTGGGCAGCAGCTGCCTTGCTGCACTAGAAGCTGGCATTCTGCAGCTGCAAGTGGCCTCCTATTCTTGTCTTGTCTCTTTTCAAAAAGGTGTTTCCTTTTTAATTGCTTATCGGCGGCAGTCTGGCTTGCCTTTGCCTTGGCCAGTGGCCCCACTGCTGCTGCCTCCAGCAGCAGCAGCAGCAGCAGCAGCAGCAGCGGCAGCAGCAGCAGGCAAATCGGGCAGCAGCAGCAGCAGCTTCCGGCTGCGCTTGCCGCCGCTGCCGAGGGGCCCCCTCTCTTCTGTTTCCGCTGCAGCTGCTGCTGAGCGGCGTGTTGCTGCAGCAGCTGCAGCAACACAGCTGCAGCTGCTGCTTCCCCCAGTGCATGCAGCGCTGCAGCTAGCCAGCGTCCCCGTGACCAGTGGTCAATCTGTGAGTGCGGACTTGCAGCTGCTGTGGGGACAGCTGCGGCAGCAGCAGCTGCAGCAGCAACTGCAGCAGCAGCTGCAGCAGCAGCTGCAGCAGCAGCTGCAGCAGCAGCTCCAGCAGCAGACCGAGGTGCAGCAGCAGCAACAGCAGAAGCAACGCATGCAGGAATCAAAGTCGCCCACAGAAGGGCACAACGATCAGCAGCAGCAACAGCAGCAGCAGCAGCAGTTGCTGCGGCGCTGCCCCAGCGGAGCGCAGCCAAAGCAGCTGGGGGGCCTCCTGTTGTCTCCAAGCAGCAGCAGCAGCAACACATCTCCTCTGGCTGCTGCTGCTTTTGCTGCTGCTTCGCCCCATATGCCGCTGGAAGAGGAAGGATTCTCAGCGCAGAAGCTTGCTGCAGCAGCAGATAATTACTTGAAGTGCTATTTACAGGTTCAGTGCAGCAGCAGCAGCAGCAGCAGCAACACTCAAGACATAAGCCGCTGCGTGGCTGCAGTCGCACTTCCGCACTGCTTGAGCAGCAGAAACAACTGCAGCGAGCGCAGCAGCAACAGCAGCAGCCGCAGCAGCAGCAAATCTGCAGCAGCAGTGCTTTTCCCCATGCCTTATCTCTGCTGCTCCGTTTGTGGGGGCTGCTGTGGCGATTTGCCGCTGCTGCACCAGGAGCAGCAAGCCCTAGGTGTGTTCTTCTCCCTAAACCCTAAACCCTAAACCCTAAACCCTAAACCCTAATAATGAGCCATCTACACAGTTGTGTCCGCATGCGGAATAGCGCAACAGCAGTATCTTTGCTGTGCGTTTTCATTGCTGCTTTTACTGCTGCTGCTGTTACTGCTGCTGCTGCTGCTGCTGCTGCTGCTGCTGCTGCTGCTGTTGCTGCTGCAGCTGCTGCGTCTGAGTTGGGCCTAATGTACAAGACTTTTGGGAGTCCGCGATCTCTCTTTTCTTTTCTTGTTGCTTCCAATCGGCTGCCGGAGGCAGTGGAGTTATTTCTGTCTCCTGGGGGTACAGCTGCTGCTGCCGCTGCTGCTGCTGCTGCTGATGTCGAGCTGCTGGTCACCCATGCACTCAACCGCCAGCAGCTAAACGCACTGCTGCGGCTGCTTCACAGAAGATCCCACGGGGAGAGCCAAGTCTTCACTGTCAGCTGCTGCTGCTGCTGCTGCTATGCTGCTGCTACAGTGGCTGCTTCTGTGTGTGCTCTTGGCGCTTCTGCCGGGGCGTCTGCATCTGCCTCTGCTGTTGCTGCTGCTGCTGTTGCTGCTGCTGCTCTCGCTGATGCTGCTGCTTCTCTGGCTGTTGCTGCCTCTGCTGCTGCTGCTTTTTGAGCTGCTGCTCTTGTTGCTGCTACCCTTGTTGCTGCTGCCCTTCCTGCTGCTGCTACTACTTCTTAATATGATTTAATTTGCCTTTTAATTTTATATTTTGATTATCTTTTTTCTTTTTGCTTTTTATCTGCTGCAGATGCTGCGGGCGGCGCTGCGCTCTCACCGCGCGCTGCGGAGTTTGCAGCAGTGCCATGTGAGCAATTTGCCTTTAAAAATGAATAAAAGCAAACAAAAACAAATTAAAAATAATTAAATAATTAAAACAAATTAAAATAATAATTGATTATTTACTTTAAAATAAAGTTGGCGCTTATTTTCCCGTTTTTTCGTCGACTTGGGCTGTCTAGACACCTGCTGCTCACTTGCTGCTGCAGCAGCAGATTTTTCTTTATTTGGTTATTCATTTATTTTTATTTAAAAACTTTAAATATTTATTTTTTTGTTTATTGGTTCATTTAATTCTGCATTTTTCCGTTTTATTTGCTCTTTTATCTGTTTATTTGTCTCATTTTGGAGTTATTTGTTTAATTGATTTATCAAATTGATTTATTTTAATTCATTTTATTTTTTTGTTTTTATTTTATTTGCTGCTGGCAGCTCACAACTGGAGACAATTTAAATGCAGGGCTTCTCTCGGTGCTTCTGGCTGTGCACGAGGCACTAGCGCCGCCTCCTTTTGCTGCAGCAGCAGCAGCAGCAGCTGCAGCAGCAGCAGCAGCAGCAAGCAAGTGGGACCGTCTTCATGGGCTGCTCGATGAAGGCATTTCTCTTCTTTCCGCGGCGCTGCAGCAAAAACGGCAAGCCAAGTCTCATGCACGAAAATTTATCGAGGGCCTAGGGTTTAGGGTTTAGGGTTTAGCGTTTAGGGCTTAGGGGTAAGGGTTTAGGGTTTAGGGTTTCTAGGCCAGTGGCTGCTATTATTCTTCAGCGTAGTGCCTCCAGACAGCATGAAACAGCTGCGAAAGCACCCAGAGGCAGCAGCAGCAGCTGCTGTCGCTGCCGCTGCTGCTGCTGCTGCTGCCGTCGCCGATGCTGCAGTTGAAGCCGCGCGGCCAGTACAGCAGGAGCGGCAGGAGCAGCAGCAAGCAGCAGCAGCAGCAGCAGCAGCAGGCCCAAACGAGCCCGCATCAAAGGCATCCGATGCTGCAGCCGCAGGCCTTTGTGCTGCGCCTCACGACAGCAGCAGCAACAACAACAGCAGCAGCAGCAAAGAAACTGCTAGGGACATTAGGAAAATAAGCGCAGCTGCAGCAGCAGAGACGCGGATGAGCAGCAGCAAACCAGCATCGGGAGGGCTGCGGCTGCTTCAGCTAGCAGACGATAGGGACCTGTCTCTTGATGAGGTAAAGTCCTGCTGCTGCTGCAGTTGCTGCTGCTGCTGCTGCTCGATTTACTGCTGGTGCTTCTGCCAGCGCTGCTGCAGTCGCTGCAGGTGAAGTTGCTTCTGCTGCAGCTGCAGCGTACAGAAACAAGGGATCAGGTTGCTGCTGCTCCTGTCGCTGCTGCTGCTGCTGCTGTTGCTGCTGCTGCAGGTTGATGAGCATGATCTACAGGAGCTTCTGGAACTAGTTGACTTGCAGCAGCAGTGCTGCTGCGCTGTTCCGAGTTGCTGCAGCAACTGGTCCTTGCTGCTGCAGCAGCAGGAGCAGAGAGTGCGCCTGTGCGTGCTGCTGTTGCTGCAACAGCAGCAGCAGCTTGCTGCTCGTGTGCTGCAGCTCTGCTGCTTAAACCCTCTTGAAGTGTATGTACAGGCAGCACATGTGCTGGCTAGCAAGGCGGCCACAATTCAGCAGGTAAAACGCAGGGCTGCTGCTGCTGCTGCTGTTGTTGTTGTTGCTGCTGCTGCTGTTGTTTCTGCTACTGGTATTGCTGCTATTGGTGCTGCTGCTGCTAGTACTGTTGAGTCTGCTGCCGTTTCCCGCCTGCAGCCTGCGTGCTTCTGGTGTGAAGTTTGCTGCTGTTGCTGCTGCTTCTGCTGCAGCTGTCTCTTGTGTTGCATTTGCTGTTCTCTTGTTGCCGCATACATAACATGCTGCTGCTGCTGTTGCGCTTGCTGTTGCTGCTACTGTTGCGGTTGCTGCTGCTGTTGCGGTTTCTGTTGCTGCTGCTGCTGCCGCTGCTGCAGATGAAGACTCTGGTGTCTGCTGCGGGGAAGCATTTGTCTGCTGATGAACTGGACTCCCTGCTGTGCAGCGCAATAAGGGGTTGGCTGCTGCAGCAGCAGCAGCAGCAGCAGCAACAGCAGCAGCAGCAGCAGCAGGGGGTGCTGCAACGAGACAGTCTGCAGGAAGCTCTAAGTCTTGTGTCTTTGCTGCGGTCGCCGTTGGCTGCATTTGACACGCGCTTGTTCGTCGCCGGTCTGGCGCTGCAGCAGCAGCAGCAGCAGCAGCAGCAGCTGCAGCACGGGGGAGCTGCCTCTTCCTTCTCAGGAAGCCAAGAACCCTCTCTCGCCCAGGAGCAGCTAAAAGTCTGTTTTGATGTTGCTTGTGAGTTGAGAGACAGAGAGCTGCTGCAGAGGTGCAGAGAAGCAGCAGCAGCAGCAGCAGACTTGCCGCTGCAGGAGCTCATTGCCTCCAAGCTGCTGCAGCTGCAGCCCTCCAGCAGCAGCAGCAGCAGCGGCAGCAACAGCAGCAGCAGCAACAAACGCAGGCGATAGAGAAGCGCTGCCTGCTTTGCAGATACGCCTTGACTTCTGTAGGGATTAGGGTTTAGGGTCTAGAGTTTAGGGTTTAGGTTTTAGGGTCTTGGGCTGGGGTTCACTTATAAGTTCTAGCCCTGCGGTTCCCGTTGGCCGCCATTATTTCTAGGGTTTAAGAATGAGGGTTTATAGTTATGGTTTAGGGTTTCGGGGTTAGAGCTCAGATAGAGCTGATTTCGAGCAGCAAACGTCAACAGTAAACCCTCGGCTTACATCTGTTTAGGGTTTAGGGTTGAGGGGTTAGGGTTTAGGGTTTGTGGCAGCTACGGCCTTTCAATTGCGTTTCACTTCGAATTCAAGGGTTCGCGTTTAGGGTTTATGGTTTAGGGCTTCGGGTTTAGGGTTTAGGGCGTAGGGCTTAGGGTTTAGGGTTTAGGGTTTAGGGTTTCGCAGAGGTGGTGTGTGCACACACGAGACGCTCAGCTGCTGCAGAGTCACTTCGTTGTTGCTGCTGCTCCGTAGCTGCAGCAGCAGCAAATTTATGCATTATAGAAATGAAATAAATTAAAATAAAATTTAAAATTTAAATTAATTTCATTCTCCTTAATTTATCGCTCGAGACATCCACGAGCGCGAGCACAGCAGGTGGCGGCGGAGTCTGCGGCAGCACACACACTGGCTAGGGTTTAGGGTTTAGGGTTTAGGGTTTGGGGTTTATGGTTTAGGGTTTGGGATTTACAACTTTTGTGCTCATTTTTCTTCCAAATATTACCTTGACACGTAACACTTTGCCCGAGGCAGAGGGGCCTCCAGTCTGCTGCTCGAGCTGCAGCAGAGAGACACCGCCGGCGCCCTAAACCCTAAACCCTAAACCCTAAACCCTAGTACTGAAGCCTGCTTTCTTCTGTTAATAAAAGGGACTCTTTTATTTTTTGAAGCCTTAATAGCCACTAATCTAAGGGGTTTAGCGCGGTTTCTGGTCATTCTGCTGCAGCAGCAGCAGCAACAGCACTAGCAGCAGCAGCAGCAGCAGCAGCAGCAGATTGGGTTTTGAGTGTCAGTTGGGGCTGACTGCAACGAAGGGAAACCAAAAGCCCCAATCCCTAAGGGCATTTATAAACCCTTATTGATGGTTTTAGTTGTAAACCCTCGAGCTTTTCAGCGCCGCCCGCGCGGAGGCGGTCAAACCCCAAACCCTAAACCCTAAACCCTAAACCCTAAACCCTAAACCCTAACCCAATGCCTTGGCAGAGGACACGAACTTCTCCTTCTGGCTTCCCAGTGTTTCCTTTTGTTTACTTTCGTTAAACACCGCGAGACGCTGTGCTGGCAGTCACTGCTGCAGCAGCAGCAGCACCAACTGCAGCAGCAGCAGCAGCAGCAGTGACCCTACTTATCTGCGAGAGCTCCTCCGTGAGTCAATTGTTTTAAGCAGCAGCAGCAGCCATAAGAGCTTCAGCAGCAGCCGCTCCAGCGGCAGCAACAGCAACTGCAGCAGCAACAGCAGCAGAAACGGCGGCGGGAACCACAGCAGCAGCAGCAGCAACAGCAGCAGCAGCAGCAGCAAAGGCAGCTCATGGAAGCAGCAGAGCAGCAAAACAACTTGGGGACGCAGCCTCCTCTTTGTCGTCTCCTTCTGGCGAATGACCCGCTCCAGTGCATCAGAACCGAACTCAGCCTGTAAACCCTAAACCCTAAACCCTAAACCCTAAACCCTAAACCCTAAATCCTAGATCGTACACCGCAGACCTTAAGCCTTCATCAAACGCCTACTTTTATGTGCGAGACGCTAAGACCTAAACCCTTAACCCAAACCCTAAACCCTAAACCCTAAACCCTAAACCCTTAACCCTAAACCCTAAAGCCTAGCGTGTCTGTGTGGGGGTCGCAGCATGCAGGGGAGCCTGCAGCGAGCTGAAGGGGGCGTGTGTCACCTGCAGCAGCTGCTGCAGCTGCTGCTGCAGCAGCTAACAGAAAAAACAGCACAAGTGGATGCTTGTTTGGGGGCGCTGCAGCCCTTAGGGTTTTACTTGAAAGGGACGCAGCTAATTAATTGTCCTGGAGAAGCAGCAAGCAGCCACGGGAAGAAGGGTTCGGGGCGGCGGCATTCTGTTGCTGCTGCTGCTGCTGCAGCTGCTGCTGCTGCAGCGCAGGACGCCGCAGCGGCAGACACAGCTGCTGCTGCTGCCGCCGCTGCAGCAACCGCTGCCGGAGCAGCACCAGCAGCTCTTCCCAGGGAAAGCGATGGCGCCGGAGCGCCTGCTGCTCAGCAGCAACAGCAGCATAAGCAGCAGCAGCAGCACAAGCAGCAGCAAAAGCAGCAGCAGCAGCAGCCGAGGGAGAAGCTGGGGCAAAGGACCCATGTGAGGGCTCCAAGCGAAGAGAAACCGCAGCAGCAGCAAACCCTAGCTGCTCCTGCTGCAGCCTCTGCTCCAGCAGCAGTTGGTGCCGCAGCAGCAGGAACTGCTCCTGTTGCTGCTGCCTTGTCCGATGCAGCGGCTGATGCTGTACCGGACGGGCCAGTGGCAGCAGCAGCAGCAGCAGCAAAACCAGCAGCAAAAGCAGCAACTGTTGCTGCTACGGGGCCAGTGGCTGCTTCTTTCGCAGTGGCGGCGGAACCTTTACCAGCAGCAGCTGCAGCAGCAGCAGCAGCAGTAGCAGCAGCAGCAGCAGCGGAGCCGTGCGGCCTCCCTGTTGTAAAGAAAAGGCAAAAGAGAAAGACTGGACAGGAAGCAGGAGCTGCTGCTGCTGCTGCTGGTTCTGCTGCTCCAACCCGAAAGAGAAGGAAGCCACTGTCTTCAATG